GCTTGTCGAGTGTACATCACTGAGAAAAACCAACAAATTGCTATGTGGGATAAGAGTATGTGATGTTGAGGCATCTATGGTGCAACATAACACCATCCATCCAACGTATCGCTACCTAGAGTATCACTGTATTGAGACATTGTTTGACAAGTATTACACTAACCACCTTGCAGATTACTACCTATGATTTTTGGATTTTTCTTTATAAATTTTTCTAGTTGAGTTTTTTGGTGTAACATACCAAAACGAAGAGAATCAATTTTCTAAAAAGATGGAACAATATTACAAATGATGGTTATACTTCCATCATTTCATCCTTTTGTACATATCAACATCACATAAGCTCCTTCCCTTTCATAAATAAACCATGAAAATTGTCATCTTTTTATTCCACGCTTCTTTGTACAAGCCACAAGCGTTGGGGCATGGTTTTTCTTGGTATGGCTACACTGGACGGTAACCGTCGGGACCTATGCGACACATATGACATGTCAAAACCATACACACTATGCGACACATATGACATGTCAAAACCATACACACTGCACTTATACTATTTGAGATGAGAGTAATGAATGAACACCCTTGACTTATGTTTTTGAAAGGAATTTATGCGTCTACTAGTTATGTGCTTAACAAAGTAATAGTTGGTGCAAATATTGTAGGAGATAATTACGCAATTTGTAAGATTCATATCAAATCAGAAAATCTTTTGGAACTCATATACTCATATTCTACGGTACATCTATGTTTGTGGAATATTTTAGATATTTTGTCTAGTGTCTCTTTCTAGGGGAGTAGATATACCATTAAGATTGAAGAGCATGAACATGGGCATTGAATGTATTTTGAATAAATGTTGGTACTTGTTTTAAAATGTCAATTGCAATACATGTTATCCTCTTGATATTTTTGGTTCTCATGTGTTTTGTATTTCAATAATTCTTTAACTAAATACGTACTCAGACAAAAATAAATAAAAGAATGTAATGGACTGGAACAAGTACCATCAATTTACTTATTACTCTAATCGCCATGCTTATTTGGGTCAAAATAAACCAAGCTCCATAATGTCCGATTTCTCTCAAAAGCATAGTAACCAAAAAATGGGGGAATTGATCGAATTGTAGTCTTTAAATCACATGCCTCCGATTCTTTTTAGATTATTCTGCTTCAACATTTTAAAACCTTACACCTAAAAAAACTAATTAATCTCATTTTTGTCTAAAATTAGTAAGATCAAGATGTACATGGAGAAGTTGGCAGTGAAACAAAACTGTTTTTGACAACACCACACACATCCTCCATTTCTTTAATGTCTCATCCAATTAATGAATGCGTCGGTTTAATTGTTGATATATAAGGAATGTTTCTCCATTCTACACTTTTTGGTATTTAATTTTTGTTATGAATTTATAGGTTTTATGTTTGAAAACATGTTAGGGGTTTGATATTTTTGAAAGAGGTGGTTTGAATTTATGCACAAAATATGTTTTTGTGAGTTTTTAGTTTTCCGTTTCAATTTTGTTTTAATGTTTTGTTTATGGTATTTTTCAAGAAAAAAAAACGAAGATGAAGAACAATACATTTATAAAAAAAACATGTTTAATATTAATCTATAATTTATATCGTCTTGCAAATGGCATGTAGAAAATAAAACGTATCTTCAGTTGATTTTTTTATTCTAAAAAACTTACTTTTCTAATTGATGTTTAAGATCATTTTGATCTATAATCAAACTTTAAGACACTTGGTTACAAGAAGACAACTTTGATTTTGCTAACATTAAATTTATTGTTTCATTATAAACCTATAACATGTATTATAAAACATTAATATTAAAATATACTTATTAAGGATAAACATGAACAAAAGAAAAGTTTCTTTTTAACATGCATTTAGGCTTATTTTATCTCATAAAATAACATCTTAATCACACAAAAAAATTGAATATTTTTTTTTTTGTTTTTTTATTATGTTTTTCGGATTAAACTTTAATTTTACTTTTTTTCTTTAAAAAGCCTTACATAGTCCTTTTTTTTTATTTTTCTGCATTTAGTCCTTACAATTTTTATTTTTTCTATTTACCCCTTGTATTTTCATTTTTTTTTCGATTTAGCCCTTATATTTTTTCATTTTTTGGTTAAAGTCTTATATTTTTTTTCTAAAATGTTAATCTCATAAAAGACCTTATATTTTGTGTTTTTTTTTTTTTCCAAATTAAGCCTAATTTTTATTTTTTTATGAAAAAAACCTTATATTTTTTATTTTTTTCTGAAAAAACCCCAACTTTTTCTTTTTTCCCCAAAAAACCCTCAACCTTCTAAATATTTCCAAATAAATCATCAACTTTTTTTAGTTTTTCCTGTAAAAACCCTCACATTTTACAACATTTTTTGGAATATAAATTACTACAAGGGCTAGATCGAAAAAAATGAAAAAAAGAATACAAGGTCTTTTTCATGAAAAAACAAATTTGAGGTTTAATCCGAAAAAAACACAAAGTATAAAGTTTTTTTTTATGAGATTAACCATTTTCTAAATATCTGTTATCTTGAAAGTTTTCTTGCGTTCGGTTCCATAATTCCATGACAGATGCTCTCAGCTTCATGGTGGGTTGGTGTAAATCTAGAGAGATTGTGATGTAACTCTATTTCTTAACGATTGCATAAATTTCTCTTCCAGATGGCATCATCTATATGGTGAAGAACGTTCTAGGCGCATGTAATCATCTAGAAAAGTTTAACCCAAGATGCTTAACAATCACCGGTATGATCTAGAGCTATTCTCATTAGGAACCATAAGGTTCGATGATGGAAGAAGAAGAACCCATCCAATTTTCCTCTTCTCGCCAACGGATGTTATCCCTCTCCTCTTATTGTCTTTCTCATTTTCCATCATAGAACCTTATGAATCCCTAATGAGAATAAAAGAATCCAACAAGAACACCTTTTACCATTCTTTCGCCATAACCAACATAAAAAAAACTCAATATAAATAATCGTTGATTAAACTAATGATTGTTGCACATCTTGGGCTGAAATTTTGCATATCATTACATGAACTTACAATGTTGTTCTTGACCAGTTGTCAACCAATGAATTTATAGGACCACCTTTTTAGTTTACTCCAAACCATTATGAAGCTGGAAGCATCTGAAATTATGCAACCAGATGCAATACATATTTCAAGATACAAAGATATAAGAGTTTTTTTAGAAAAAAAAAATTGATGTTTAATCTAAAAAAATGAAAAAAAAATGTAAGGTTTAAATCGACAAAAAATTGAAAATATAAGGGGTAAATCAAAAAATAAAAACTATAAGGTTTAAATTGGGAAAATAGAAAAAAAAATGTAAAAGTTTTTTCTGAAAAAAAAAATAAATTTAAGGTTTTAATCTAAAAAACCCTGTGATTAACAATTTATCTTACCAAAATATATAATACACTACAAGAAATAGGGGTGACATTAATAAGGACGACATTTAGTTAGACGCAACGGATATTACCCATTAACAAAACATATTTTTCTAAATGATGATTAAGATTATTTTATAATTCTATAATCAAAATATAAGAGACTTTGTTACAAAATGACAACTTTGATTTTGCTAACATTAAACTTATTGTTTGATTATAAACATATAACACGTATTATAAAACATTAATATTAAAAATATATTTAATTAGAATAAACATTAACTAAAAAAGGGCTTTTTTGACATGCATTCAGGCTTATTTTATCCCATGACATGTTTATCTTTTACAAAAAATATATATTGCACTACAAGAAATCACCATGACATTAATAAGGAAGACTTTGATATTATGTGCGACGTCTAGTTGGACATGTTGGATATCACCCCTATTGTATATGTTGTCCATATTGCCATGTCACCACTAATGCTTTGATGTTCCTATTTGTGTTGTCGCTTTGATGTTGCCGTTAATGCTTATGTCGTCTTATTGGTATCACCACTGATATAAATAAACCAATCTGAGGAGTAGACATGGATGGCCTTCTACTATGATTCATACCTTTTAAAACTCAACAATCCAACGGTCTTGAAAAGAAATAAGAAATGTTCATCTCATCATATAAGTATAACTTCCCATTTCCAAATAGGTTGTGCAAACATGTTTGTCATTGTCGAAAAAGATAATTGATGACCTTTCATTCCTCTCTTTATTGATGGAGAGAGTAGTGGAAAAGCTTAACACTAGAAAAATGATGCGACTCTCACCCCAAACCACCAAATAACTTTAACCTTGTTACCTCTTTATTTCTCATTCCACATTGGAACTAGAAATGAAGTTATAAGTTGACATTTTGTGAATGATCCAGTGGCTTGTGTGTTACTTGTATGGGGAAGGAACATCTTTGATTAGGTCTATGGGTTCTTGACCAATGATAAACTTCGAACGATAGAAAAACGATGGTCTTAACATATGTTGGCTTTAAATTTTTGTAGATTTTTAAAGGTGGTTTCTAATCTAAGTTAGTTCTATTTTTTGATTATGGACGAAGACGGTGTGATGGCTGCAACCAAAGAAACCAATGGTGGAAAGAGGATAGGCATGGTGGTGGGACCTACACAAATGTGAATCTAAACCTTTAAGGATGATTCTAGTGGAAAAAAATAAACAAGGATAAAAGTTGCAGATTACCCCAAACTGTAAGGACAGTTTATGTAAATGACTTTCAAAAATTATTAAAAAATAACAACCAATAGAGCCCAAATCAATACGGGCAACATCAAACAATAAGGACGACCGACACCGGAGCATTTAGTGACAAATTTGCAATAAATTTTTAAATTTTAATTTTAACTCATAGGATTGGTTTGTTTGTTTATTTATTTATTTATGGACGAGGATCACAGATTTTAAAGCAAAAATCAAATACTTTTATTTAAAATTATATATGAAAACGAACACATTTGTTTTATTACAAAAAAATAAACATAAAAATACACCACCATACAATCAACCAAAAAAAATCTAGTAAAAGAAAGCTAAAGCAGCGGCCAAGAAAGTGGCGGGTACAACGGCGGTGAAAGATGGGGATGCGTTACCAGCTGGCGGTGGTGGTGATGGCGGCGGCATCATGCTACCAGCGGGAGCTGGACTGGAGGTAGACGGAGGAGGAGTACCGGCAGTGCCAGCTGCAGCAACGTTGATGGTAAGTTTCTGACCACTCCGGCAATGAGCTCCGACACTACAGATATAGTAGTGGTTGCCGGGAGTCCTCAAGTTGACCGTAGCAGGGCCGGTGGTGACGGAGTTAATGGGGCTAGCGATGGTGCATGGGCCGTACGCCGCCTGTGAAACTTCTGTAACGTCATGGAATCTTGTGGTGAAGTTGAAAAACAAAGAATCGCCGACGGTGAAGGTCTGGCCAGAAGCCCAGGTGGTGTAGGTGTCGGCAGCAGATGGAATGTTCCAACCAAAGGCGTCTGCGACGACGTGCCTTGTCTGCGCCACCGTGGATTGGAACTGGAAAGATGCAACCACCATAACTACCAACACAAATACTAACTTTGAAGCTGCCATTTTTTTTCTGTGTTTAAATCTCAGGTCGCCCACTTTCTTTTGGTAAAACCTTTCCTTTTGGGGATACTCACTCTCTAGTGTTCTGAGCTTGGTGGAGATGAAGGATATCTTGGAGATGTATTTATAAGGGAATGGAAGTTTGACCTTTTCGATGAACGAGTACGATAACGTTGACTTTGACTATTGTGAGGTGTAAAGTCCAAATTGTGGTGGGTGAGGAAGTTAGCATGGCCTCAATTGTCCTGTATTAGGTGGGCTTAGACATGTGAACTTTTCAACTAAACCAACGAACCATGTTAGAAGTTTTGTTGGGATAAATACCATGTTAGAAGTTTTGTTGGGATAAATATTTTAATAGGGTTCGTGTTAAATTAAAAAAAAAAAAACCTATAGTGATATTTTGAATAGAAGTTGTAAATGAAAAAAAAATAATCAACTTTTATCTTATTTAATCTTATTTGATCGCCATATTATTAATCATACAACCTACATATCACTCACATATCCAATCATGTAACTAATAAAATACAAAAATAAAGTAAAGTCGGAACAAATAGGCAATTTAGAAAAGCAATCATTATCCTTAAATCAAAGTTATATGATTTTCGTGATTTACAAAACATCTACAATGAAAAGTTTAATGAAAAAGTTGATCAGGTGACAAATTTAGTTGTCATTTTATGGATAAAAGTTCATCATTGTGAGATGTCACTTTGACATTCAATAGATTTGGAGTACAATTGACATTGAACATTTCAGTGGGAAAAAAAACTTTTCTAACTCTTAAATAAAAATTTAAATTTGTTCAGTTGTAGGAAAAATTGATAGAGTTTTAAAGAATATAAAATTAAGATATGACAATCCATTGAACTATATGAAGTTCAGCGCATGGTGGATAATGTAACATCCGTATTTCAGGTACAAGTACTTTGTCATTTTAAGTTGGGAATTTGGAATTTCATCGCACCACAACGCGGTAAGGGTTGGACAACGGCGCATGACACGTCATTAAGTGGCGACACAGTTAGGTCCTCAGTGTGGCGCGGTGGCGGTTATGGATCAAAACCCTAAATCTCAGGCTTTGGACCATATTTAAAGGCTTTAAGCCCTAGGATTGGCCTCATTGGACAACCTCTCTTCCAAAAAATGCCTCTTACCCTAACCTTAATCCCTTATGTTGCTTGAGAGCTCATTTTGGTGTCTTTCGTGTGTTATAAAAGAAGGTTGTGATCTTTAGTGCAAAAAGAAAGAGTTTCCAGTCTAGTTCCTCTATTCACTTCATCTTCTGGACCTTGGAGAGGTATAAAGTCTCCACCTTTATGGTTATACTCTTTGGATCTAAGTTATTAGTGACTTTGTGGTCATTTTGGCCCCACAACCTTTGTGTTCTTCGAGTTTGATGAACTCCAGAACCTTTTGGTGCATTATTGTACTTCTGGACCCTTGTTGTTGAAGAAAAAGGGATTTGCTTGGGCATACATGGAGTCCATGCACTTGGAATGACCTCTTGAGTAGGTTTATGGACTTAGGGTTGTAGATCTTGACTTGTGATATCTAAAGGGATAAAGTTAAAAACTTTATCAATTAAGACCCTTAGGGGAATCATATATGAGATTTTGAGCTCTAGAGATTAAGTGTTAAGAACTTAAGTCATTAAGATATTTTTTAGCCTAACCATGGTGCGATGGTGTGTAGACCATGACACAGTAAAGTATGAGTCCCCGCGACTATGTTGGACATTGGTGACCGTGACGCGAGCTAAGAGTTGGTCGTGGGGCGGTGGTTTTTGAACATTGAGTTTTTGACCAGTTTGACTTTTAGTCAAGCTAAGGGTTTTTGAGTGGTAGACTGAAGTTTGACCTTTGGTAGGTTAGGAGATTTGTATATTTGTTTGACGAGTCACTGAATGTTGATATTTCAACCTATATTTCAGGTGAGTTTTCTCACTATACTTTATACTCCAACATGGATCCACTATATGCTAGGATGTTAGTATGTTGTAGTGAGCTGTTAGGTAGGTAGACTTGTTTAGACAATTGATTGTCATTATTGGTTTGTTTGGTTGACTGTTTGTATAATTACATATGTCGACTGATGCGACATCGACTCCGACCACCTGCTCTGAGGATGTGATTCTACGCCGGAGACAGATCTGTGAGATCACAACAGAAAAGGTTGTTAGAGCCGCCCCAGGGACTGTGCCACAGGAGCGGGCTCTGACGGTCAAGTTAGATCATTTAGTAGATCTGAGATGGTCCTCCATAGCTGGAGAGAACCATCTTGGTGTTGGTAGTGGTGTATGGTGGCTAACGGCGGCGGATGGTGGCTGAGCCACCCGGCCGGAGTATAGTGTGGAGGCTGAGTTATGAGGGAAGTCTAGTGGCGACTGAGCCACTTGGGGAAGAGTACCCGGGAAAGGTCCCCCTTCATGGAGGAGGCACTATTCTATTTATAGGGGACAACTAGGTCAAGGGTAATTGGGTCAGGCCTTGGGCCAGCCCAATTCAGGCACAACTAGCAAGGAGCTGGGCAAGGCCGCCCGGAGGCGCCAGGCAAGGCTGGGGGGCGCGCCCCATGCAAGGTTGGTGGGCGCGCACCAAGAAAGGCTGGCAGGGGAGCGCCAAGCCGGGGAGCGTTGGGCCGGGCTGGCAGGAGAGTCCCCAGCACGGCTGGCAAGGGAGCGCCGGGCTGGGCCGGCAGGAGAGTCCCCAACACGACTGGCAAGGGAGCGCCAAGCAAGGCTGGCAGGAGCGCGCCAGGCTAGGCTGGCGCTCTAGATCAGTCTAGGCCATGCTAGTGGACCATATATCATCAAGTCCCTCCGGTCTGATGTTATTGGTACGCGGCCAATGACATCGGACTAGACTTAGTCATATAAATTGTGCGTCGTCAAGTCCCCCTAGTATGATGCGATTGGGTTGCTGACAATCGGATCGGACTAGATAAAGCACCAATACATTAAATAATAGAGAGAATGACCGAACCTCGCCCACGAGAGTCGTGGGGTTGTGCGAAGAGCCAAACATTGCTTATGCAGTTTGATTTGACTTGATACTCCTTTCTTGAGAGGAGCGTGATTCTGTCAGTGTGATGTAGCGTAACTGTTGCTGCAATGTTTTGTAGAGCGGGGCTGCTAAAGAGTGTTATGCGACTCTGATGTCGATAAAATGTCGGGTCGGGGTAGCAAAGAACTGTAACCTCGCCATACAGTCTCTAAGATCGTTGCCGAGCTCCGAAGTCTGTAAATAGATACAACGTACTTGGTCCATGATTCCCGCGTTCCAGTCATAACTGAAAGTTGTTAATAAAAATAGACGCTCTGAGCGTCGCACGCGCACCTCGGTGAGGGGGACGAGACCCGCGGCCAACACCGAGTGGGGAGTTATATTTCTTTACAGACCGGGCTTTGCGCCGCGAGTTTGCCGTCGGCGAGCTCTGAGTGTCGCGACGCTGGAGCGGCTCTCTGAAAAGACAACACAAACAAATTTAATAGTTAGTATTTTCTCTTGAAGTAATAAATTGATTGTTTTCCTGTCGGGGTTATTTCGAAATGCTTCTCGAGTAGTAGTAGCGTGCTACTCTTCTCCTTCCTTTTTTTTCTTGAAAATGTCGCGAGAGTTAGACTTGCAACACATTCTGTTTACCGGAGCTTGCGGTGACTGGTTGACTTTTGTCTCGCTAAGTTGGGGTGCTTTTTATTTTTATTTTTATATTTTTTGGAATAGCCTCAAATTATAGAGGAATAAACTTGAAGGGAGTCCAGAATAAATATAAGAGTCCCAAATATCACCCATTTATCTATTAATCAGCCCAACTGAGAAATAATGGCCCATGTTCTAGTTATGAGCCCACTTAGTAAAAGATCAGCCCAATATGAGGCTGCTAGAGCCTACTTGCGAGATATGGGTCAGTGCCCTAATTCCCTTTGTCTATGTGAAACGGATTGAGTATCAAGGGTAGGCCCATCTGTGCTTTCTTTCCAATTTTTGGAAAAAAGGTCCTCCAGCCGCCTCCCATTATCCCGATCCCTTGGAAATGGCATCAAAAGATAAAACATCGGTCATATGATATATAATTCACAGTAGCAAGTGACGTTCGGTGGTTGTAATGATCTTCAATGCTGAAATTGATGTTGTTGGAGGGTCAACGAGATTACAGAGCGGCAGATTGCAACCGGAGATTGAAAGTTGTAGGTTTACACAGGTTCTAGGGAGTTGGAGCAGGTGTTCGGATTCCGACAACCACCGCTTGGAGAAGGAAGTGGCTGTAGTCGGAACTGCTTCGTCGGAAGAGCGACGTCAGGTAGCTGGAATCGACCGGTAATGGAGACTGTTAGCGCTGGTCCAAAGGTCGCTATTATGAACTGATTATAGTTGGAGGGTCGTCAAATGGAGAATGGGTAACTGACTGTGAGTCCTGGCGGTCTGATTAGCTGGGACCGGTCGGAGGTGCTCAAATTTCGAGCGTCGGTGGGGTTTCTATGTCTGTTTTTGGATAGGTGAGAGCAGCCGGTGACAATCGGGTTCCGATTTCCAGCGATTATGTTTTCTTGGGGGCTAGGGATCGCCAATTGACCAGCTAGAAGAGATGGTCGACTGGCGGTGCCGCGGCTATGGTGGATCTGCAATTGTCGACCAGCGGTGTGGGGCTCTTTATTGGATAATGACTGTAGATGGGCTTGTATCGCCGGTGCTGAGGGTGACCGATGAAGGTAACATTGCTATTCCGTTTTGTCCTTATTGGTGAGAGTCACAACGATGTCAACCAGAAGCCCACAATCATTGGCGAAATTGGTGGTCAGTTGGTGATGTTGGGGTTGTTGTTTTGGAGGTGCTCGGAGGTTGGACTGGTTAAGACCGGTGAAGATGACTCGAAGGTTGTTTTCGGTTGATTTAATTGGAGGATATGAGTTGGGTGAGTCACCAAATGGGGCCCGTTTTGTTTTTTCTGTAGCTCTTTAAACGTGTGGGACCCACACGCCTTTTTTATTTTAAGAGTAT